GGATGACATCTGGTGGCAGACTCCTTTGGTCTCTGGCATTTCCAGGGTGTCCTTTTTTTCTTGACTGCTGGACCTGAGAACAGAGATGCATCTGGTAGGAAAGCTGACCTGCTGGAAATGGTGGACTCTTTGGGGAGGAAGCAGTCCTCCTGTCTCTCTTCCTGCCAGCCTCCAGAGGTGATCCACAGACAGAGGTGGGCCTATGACTGCAGAGCAAGTGGGGATTGGCAGCTGGCCTTTCTTATCAGGTGCAGAGGGCTCTCACTTGAACACCTGCACCTAGCCTGGAGGCACCCAGCCTGGAGCCAGGCACTTCGGGTGCTGAACATATCTGGCTGAGTGGACAGCATATAAAAAGTTCAGCCCTGAGTCCCTCCATGTGAAGCAGCAGCAGCGGGTGCTGAGAACAGGCCTGACTTGTTCTGCCTCACCTATCAGCAGGAGATGCTCTGTATGTGGAATCTGGTCTTGGGTTTTTCCCCCCACCCAGTAATAGAATTTAGGGAATTTTCTGTGGTTTAAAGCAAACTTCCAACTCTTAAATTGTGAATAGAGTAGAAAAGTCAAGAGAATAGAGTTACACACCTCTTGATTGAACAGTTAATGTTTTATTATACCTGCTTTATCTCCGTGTGTATATATATCTTTTATTCTCTGAATCATTTGAAAGTATGTTGCAGTCATTACAAAACTTCACCTCTAAAAACTTTAGTACGCATCTGAGTATAATAACTTGGTTTTGTTGTTCGTTTTTGGCCTAGCCATGGGGTCCTGTGGCAAGGTGTGAGGTGTTCAGGGACCAGTGGCGTAGACAGTAGGCCTCAGTCAAGAGCAGCTGGGCCCACATCCATGTTCACTCCCTGCATTAGCAACGCTTTATTTCCAGCCTCAGTTTAGAACTTAAAAAATGTATGGTGCAACATTCCAATTCATTAAAAGGAATGAGGGAGGACAGATCAGCCTGTGCCCACATATTACCCTATGTCTTTTTTCCTGCCCACCTGCCTGGAGCTCCATTTGCCTGCATTCAGCATACCCCTCTGTGCTGTGGTGCCTATGACGCTGGACAGTATTGAACATGTTCTGCACTTTTTTTTACAACTTTATATAATTACTATAGCTTTCTTCTTCTTATCTGTAAACAGGCCACTATAAACTCCCTCATAAGGTTGTTAAATGAGAATGATGTATGTGTAAATACCTCGCTCTCTGCTGGCAGGGTGTAGAAATTCAGTAAATACAGGCACACTTCATTTTATTGTGCTTTTGCTTCATTGTGCTTTGAAGGTAATTGCATTTTTTTGTTTTTTATTTTATTTTATTTTTTACAAATTGAAGGTTGGTGACAACCTTGCATCTAGTGAGTCTGTCAGCACCATTTTTCTAACAGTGTTTACTCACTTTGTGTCTCTGTGTCATATTTTGGTAATTCTCGCAGTATTTCAACGTTTTCATTATTCTGTTTGTCATGGTGATCTGTGATTAGTGACTACGACTTGCTGAAAGCTCAGATGATGGTTAACATTTTTTAGCAATAAAGTGTGTTTTAATTACATACATTGCTTTTTTTAAAAAGGTTTTTTAAAAAAGTTTTATTTTGAGAGAGCATGAGTGGGGAAAGGGCACTGGGAAATCAAAAAAATTCATTTGACTTGCATTTTTTAAAAGTTTATTTCTTTAGAGAGAGAGAGAATGCACGGGTAGGGACAGAGAGAGAGAGAGGGGGAGAGAGAGAGAACCCCAAGCAGGCTCCCTATTATTTGTGCAGAGCACGATGTGGGGCTCAAGTTCAAGGACCGTGAGATAATGACCTGAGCTGAAATCAAGAGTTGGATGCTTAACTGATTGAACCCCCCAGGCATACTGCTTTATTGCAGTATGCTGGAACCAAACCAGCAATATCTTTGAGGTATGCCTGTACTGTTTTACTTCCTACCTAATAGGTGTTAGGAAAGGTGGATGTTAAAGTGAGCAGTCAAGTTGGCAGGGAAGTAGATCCCACTTGTCTGCTCAGGTGTCGTTTACTAACTGCCCAGCTCTATCCTCAGAGAATCTTGGGCTCATTCAAGGTCAAGAGGGCGTCTCAGGGGCCTCAGGGCCCCTATCTGGGAGGAACTGTGGCGGCCACACCCCCAGGTCTCTCAGGCTGTGCTTTGCCTCTTCCCTGCTTGCCCCAGCCCAGGGACAACGCTGAGTGGTGTGTGGAAGAGCTGAGGACTGCCTGAAGAAGATGAGGAACAAGATAAAGCTGAGCTCTGGGTCTGGAAGGAGTCCAGGGTGGCTGACTCAGAAACATGTAGGGCCCTGTGTGGAGCTTTCTGCCAGGCTGTTCTGCCACAAATCACGGTTTCCTTTATTGTGCTGCAGACCTGCTCCGTGCCCCCTCCTCCAGGAGCTGCTGGTGGGATTGCTGAGAAACGCTGGCAAATGCAAGGGGGTAGGGCTGGGAGAAGGTTTCAGATGAAGAAATAGCCTGAGGGCACGTTTGTGAGGCTGCTAACTTGCCCGTGGCTTCTTGCACCAGCCACCAGCCACCAGCCCTGAGACACCAGCCATCACTGGTCTTCCTCAGGAGGCTTCTGCCAGCCCCCAGGGAATGAGAATTAGCAGAAAGCACCTGCCACCCCTGCCCTACTGCTACCTTCATCCCCTTGTACAGTAGTGCATGAAATTCACTAGGCAGGGAACTACAGTGGCATGAGTGACGTGGGACACCTGTCCACGGGTGCTGGAGGCCAAGAGGCCTGGGGCCTGCAGAGCCTTGCGGTGGCGCTAGGTGGCACTCCCACCCAGGGGAGTACCAACAAGGTAGGAGGACCCAGTGTGGCTGGAAGGGACCTTGTTCAGGGTGGGAACATAAACTTTTGTTTTTCCCAGAAATCATTTGTTAACTATTATCTGGAATCTAGAAGGCATTTCCTTACTGAAACATACGTGGTGGAAGTCAGGTTAGAAGGCTAATCTCAGGACAGACCTGTGGGCTGGTTTATGAGTTTTCTAAACACCAGTCTTCCTGAGAGGCTTAAAATGATTACAAAGGAACCCTGGTAGACCTGGAGTGTCCCTGTTGTTCATTTTACTGGGAGAGCATTGGTGTTTCAGAGGCTGCTCAGCAAATGAGAACCTGGGCTTTTGTTTTCCTCCCCTAAGTGTAACTTGGACAAGGCCTGGTCTGGAAGTACTGGAGGCTTTGGGGAAGTCAGAATGGTCCTCTAGGATCTTTCTGGTTCTGGAATTTAGTGTTGCAAGGATTCTGTTATCTTCCTGTGCTTTCACTACTTTTTATCCCATTTCACGGTGTGTTTGCTTAGAGCTCTGGGGTGAGAAGGGGTCTTAAGTCTCACTGAGGCTCAGAGAATGCTGTGGGCCTAGGCTGGGAGACTGCAAGGTGCAGCCCCTGTGCTGGAACCTGAGCCCTAGAGGGCTGGAACTCTACATAGTGCACCCCTGCTGCCCTATTCCTGCTGTACATTGGAAGTATCCAGCATTATGGAAATCCACAAGGAGGGACCCTGCCCGTCTTCTGCCCCTATCCCTGCTGTGGCATCCCAGGTCTGTAGCTTGTCACAGAGCACTTGCAGAGTGGATCCAGATGAGAACAGGTGTTTGGGGCTTTGTATGCCACCATGTCCTGCTCCAGGCTGCCTGGGCTCAGCTGCCCATCTCTTCGAAAGCCTAAAGGCTCTTTCTTCCTGTTCCAAATGTTGCTTTAGAAATCAAATTCTCAGGGCGCCTGGGTGGCTTATTCGGTTGAGTGATTTCAGCTCGGGTACTATCTCACGGTTTGTGAGTTTGAGCCCCACATCAGGCTTGCTGCCTTTGGATCCTCTGTCCCTCTCTCTCTGACCCTCCCCGACTCATGCCTGCTTGCTCTCAAAAATAAATAGATATTAAAAAAAATTTAAATTTTCAGTGATCAGAAGGAGCTAGGGTTGTACCCTTGTTCAGTGGCCTAGAGCATGAAGACTGAGCCTTCTGAGGCAGTCTGACCGCTGAATTTCACCGTTTGTTTGTTTTTTTGGGTTTTTTTGGTGTTCCCCGTTCACTCTATCTCACCTAGAAAATGTCTCTTCATCCTATGTGGAGCGAGTGCTTGCAGGCATGGGGTGTAAGGTGCTGCCCCCCCCCGGCTGGGCCCTGCCATCTACTGGGGTAGAAGGACACTGCATGAATCACTTCACGGCCTGGGGCCAGAGGGGAACTTTGCTTTTACTGAGTCTGGTCTCTTTGGGGGTCTATCCCAGATTTTGTGTGGCAGGGGATTTGTATGGTAGGAGTGTGTCTGCCTGGAGGAGGGGGGGGGGTGTGGAGGTGGGGGCATCCTGTGCCTTCCAGGTGGGGTGTGGGAAAGAGCCAAGGACTTAGATGCCTTTTCGAGGGCTAGAAAAGGTAGCTGGCTTTCTGTTCAGTCCCAGGAAGCTGGCCCTGGGTGAGGTCAGCCACACGTTGAAGCCTGGGACTGCCCAGTTTGGAGTGAGGAGGAAGAATGGCCCCCAGGCCCCGGAGGTGTCGCCGGGAAATCCCGTGACCGGGCGGGGCTGGTTCCCTGGCCACAGCCCCTCCTCTTAAAGGGGCCCTGGGCCCGGTGGCTGGGTCTGGCCCGAGGGCGGAGCGTGACTGCTTCTGGTGTCCGCCCTCCATCCCCGCCCTGGGTGGTCCGAGTGGCCAGAGCTGAGCCCCCGCCTGCCTGCCGGGGCTTCCTTTCCGAGTGGCGCCTCCTTGGGCGTCGGCGCCTGACACCCAGCGAGACCGGACTACCTGCTGGTGAGTGAGCGGAGCCCGTAGTGGGGCCGCCCTGGGTGCCGGTCGCCCCTTGGAGCTGCGGGGCCCTGGGCTGGAGAGCCCACCCCACAGTCTTCATCCCTTCACGGGCTTCTCCTGCCCACATGGTGGGTCACGGGCTGTCCTGGATGAGCTCACTTCCGCCAGGCCGGGCAGCATCTCCTGGCCCTCAGCCGGCCGGGAAAGGGAAAATGCTGGGGCTCCAAGTCCCCTCTTGCTCGGAAAGATTTCCTCAGTGACTGGCGCCAGTTAGGGAAGAAAGCTGCCCTGTTCTCAGTGGGACCTGTAGGTGTCCTCAGGGTCTCACCTGAGGGGCAGAGAGGGGGGTGACAAGCTGCCCTTCACAGAGCCCTATCCCCAAAGGAAGGTTCTTTTCCTTTCTGGGATTCTTAAATCTCTTAGAAGTCCCGTGCTGCGGGGAGGACTGTCCCCACCTCCAACCACCCTTCCCTGGCTGCTGGCTTGAAAGAAGTATCTCTGGGTCCTTCTCTTTCCTTCCTCTTCTCTTGCCCAAGGCTTCCCCAAGATGGCTCACCCGTTTCACCTGGGGAGAATCCATTTTCCCTGTTCTCTGTTTTTGAAGTTTTGTCTGCTTCTAGTCCTGGAACACAGGGAGGAAGGATTGGTGGTCCCACCTGGACACAGCTGTTTGTGTCATGGTTCAGGTGAGCTGGGTGGGGGGCTGGGGGTGTCAGGTAGTGGCCCTGCCTTCCAAGGTGGAAGCGGGCCCAGAAAGTCAAGCAGATGGACACAGAATTTGGGGAAATGGGGACACTGAGGCTTTTCTGCTGTGGCTTCAGGAGGAGTGACCCTGACACCCAGTGAGAGTTCCGCTCAGGGAGCAAGAACAAATTTCTTAGGTTGTCTCTGGCAGGTTGTGTGCCTGGCTGCAAGGCCCTTGGTGCTCACGGAGAGCTTATTGGGGGGCGGGGGACAGACAGTCTGACTCCGTCCCTGCCTTCCTGACCTTGTCCAGACTCAAACCTGAATCCATCAAAGTCCAAGGGAACCAGTCAGGAGCATGGCTCCCTGCCCCCACACCTGTAGTAACTGGTAACTGGCCTGGGTTCGTCCATCTGACTTCAGTTGGAACGTTCCATTCCACTGAGGGGGTTATTGTTGCCTTCATTACAGGTTGTGAGGGGACATGGCAGCACTGGTCGGGTGTGAATACCCAGAATAGCACGTCCAGACAAAGGTGACCCCCTACCTGGTCCTGTTGGGCCGTCAGATCTTCTCATAGGGACAGCAAGTGTCCGTGTGATTTGGGCTCTTTCAGAACTACTGACTCCACCCTGTCCCTGCTCTCTTGCCAGTGGGAGCATACCTCGGTGCTCCCAGAGTTTGGGTTTGGAAACGGAGGTGGGGTGTTGGGAGTCAGGTCTAGGGGATGAGACGACAGGTCTCGGGTGAAAGTGAGGCATGGTGTTTCTGAGCAGAGCAGAGTTCTGGGCCAGTGTTGCTACTATGATCTGAGCCTCGAGGGGGTGAGCAGGAGGAGTGACCCTTCCCATTTCCAGATAGCCAAACTGATAGCCACAGAGCACCTGTGACTTGCAAGGCCTCTCCCAGCTCTCAGGGTAGGGCAGCCAGGATTGCAGTAACTGGATTGTCCCCCTCCCCCACCAAAGCCTAGCTTCTGAGTTCCCCTGTTCAGTATGGCTGGTCCTTAGGCCTTGTGATAACTTTAAACTCCTACTGGTCACAGCTCACAACTCTTCTCCACAGAGTGTCCTTGAGATGGAGGAGAGAGGGAATGTAACTGTACTTCCCTTGCTTCAGGGAGTCCTGCTTTTGGGTTCCTCATCTGGGCCTGGCTCCAAGGAGCCAGAGAGTAAGAAAATTTTGGCTTGGGCTCCAAGGGTCATCGCAGGAATGGAGGGCAAGTGGGGCACCATAATGGGGAGGCCAGGAGCACTGTTGGCCTAGGAAGTGGCTCTGCCTTTGGGAAGCAGAAAGGAATGAGCCTTAGGGGAGCCCCTTTCCTCCATCCTGCAGTTTTGAGCTAGACAGAGGGTGCCAAGCCTGTTTTCTGGGGACAGGTGAATTCATGTCTGCTCCCTGGGGACCTTTTGGGGCCCATGCATGTTGATTTGGAAGAAACTTGACAGTCTGGTCCCTGACCCATTTCGGAAGAGGATGTAGAGTGGTGGTGGAGGTAGGACTGAGGGCTCAGGACATCCTCCTGGCCCTGTGGGGGCAGTTTCTTAGAGTCTAGGATAGCAGCAACTTGAACTGGGCCCCCTTGAGCACCCTGCACTGCAGGAGGAAGGGTGAAGGCCCAGTTTACTGTGGTGGGCCATGAGGCCTGGCCAAGTCCCTGCACTGGGGGCCCGAGGGTAAATGAAATGGCAGAGGCATACACAGGAATCTGTTTTTGAGGACCTGAGGTTTTGGGTCTAGCTAGGCTTGTCTGTGGGCTCCAGCATGTGCCTTTCTGGCAGCATGCTGCAGTGGTCACTGCCCCATCTGGTAACATAGTGGGGGAAATAGGCAGGTTGAGACTGGGGTCCCCATCCTCTTCCACAAGGCCTCACTGGCCTCACCGGAAATCCCAGGTGTGCACTCAGTCTGAGTTTTCTCGAGTGGGGGCAAGAGCCTTGTCCTAGAAGTCAAGCACTTCAAGCACTGTGCCTAGTCCTGACTGCCTGTCACCCCTTTGGGCCTGGGGAGCTGACAGGAGGCCATTGTGGGGCCCCATTGCCTGGTGGGCCATGGAGGGGTGGGGTGTGTGCTCAGTACATGGGTGATATAGTTGAAGTGACCTGTCACAGATGGGAAAGTTAGGAGGCTCAGCATGGGTGAGGGATAGACACAGTGGTGTCCATGGGTCCCGGGGCCCAGCCCTTAGGTCAGAGGAGGCTCCTGTGCGTATCCGCTTCTGGCTGAGACCAGGTGCCCACCCATAGTGAGCTGTCCTGCCACTCAGGTGAGTGGCCTGGGGATGATCTCTGCTGGAGGGGTCTGGGTCCGGGGTGGCCAGGCCTTGCCACTTCCTTGGTCAGGGCTGGAAATCCATGCTTGCTTTCGGATGTTACTCAACCTGTGCTGGCTCCCACTGTACACTACACTCCCAGGGATTTGACTTGCCAGGGACTGGCATTTTCACCTCTGGCTGAGGTGCCTTTGCCAGGGCATCAGACATTCACCCTTGTGTGGGTGGAGCCGGGTCTGAGTGGGGCCTCTTGTTCTGTTGTGAGTCAGTTGGCTGTGCGGGGGTCAGCATTTGGCCTGGGACTGCTCTGGAGCAGGCAGGTGGCCCAGCTTGGGGACAGAGTGGGTGGAGGGCAGGGGCCTATGTCCAAAGCCTCAGGCCCCCACTGCTTCCCAAGCAGGTGTGACCAGTGCCTGTCTTCACGATAGCTGCAACCTCTAAGCTGCGCCCAGTGAGCCACAGGACCCAACTGAGCTGGGAAGCGGCCCACCAGCCACCAGCTGACCTCTGCTGGGTCAGCTTTCTGCCTTTGGAGCTTCTCTCAGGGCCTGCATCTCTGCGTCTAAAGATGGTGGCAAGTGCCTGTCCTCTGTAGCCTGCAGTTGGGATTGGAGGCCAGGCTGGTTGGGTCCTTGACTATCCCTGGGCTCAGACAGCAACGACTGTGGAATGTTTGCTCTCCTTTCCTATTATCTGTGAGGGCCTGTGGGCGTGTCCTCCCAGATCACCAGGCAGGGCCAGAGTGCTGTCCACAGCAAAGATCGGAGTGAGGGGCTGGTTTGGGCTTCAGTCCTGGTTGATATTCCTCAGATCACGTCATGAGTGTGCTAATCTGCTGAGGAGGCCTTGGGGGGGGGTCTGTGCCGGGATGGGAGGCTCTGATGCCTGGCTGTGGGGGGCTGGTGAGAGAGCTGGAGCAGGTCAGGTTTCCAGCGTCTGACCCCCACCCACTGTGTCTCTCTTGTCTTCCCGCTCCCTCATTCCTCAGATGCTGTTTTGTCACCTGAATGGAAAATGGGTCAGGTCCTGGTGAGGGAGGGGCCGCTCGAGCTGCAGACAGGCCGACGCTGGGTGCCCGCCTGGAGCACAGGGCTCAGATTCCAAGCTTGTGCTTCTTGCGCCCACAGGCGCCTGGTCCCTTCTCTGGCATTAGCTCGCTGCGCTGGAGGGGGCAGGTGGCCCAGCCTGGGGACAGAGTGGGTGGAGGGCAGGGGCTTGTGTCCGAGGCCTCAGGCCCCCACTGCTTCCCAAGCAGGTGTGACCAGTGCCTGTCTTCACGATAGCCCCAACCTCTAAGCTGCGCCCAGTGAGCCACAGGACCCAACTGAGCTGGGAAGCGGCCCACCAGCCACGAGGCGGCCAGCCCGAGGAGTGGTGACAGCGCAGGAGCTCCTGGCTGGGGGGAAGGGAGGAAGGAGGAGAAACAAAGGCGAGTGTGCCTGGCGCCGCCCACCATGTGTCAGTCAGAGGCTCGGCGAGGACCGGAGCTCCCAGCAGCGAAATGGTGAGATGCTGCCGGCCGCGTCCTAACCTCACTGTGCCCCGCCACGACCTCCGGAAGGTCAGAGTTCACGTCCAGCGGCCCCGAGGTGGAGGTGGCAGCAGGGGGCAGGGGGATCAGCCCCCGAGGCTGGAGGGGCCCGGCCCGGAGGGCCTGAGTCGGAGAGCCCGCTTCAGGTACCTGGGGAGGCGGAGCGGGCTGGTGGCCTAGTGTCTGCTGCTCCCTAATTGCTGCTCCCAGGCCCCCACCCCCAGGTGCTCCCCACCCTGCTCTGGAGAGGTGCCACTCTTCTAGGATTGGTCCCTGGGCTTCTGCAGTGATCAGGGCGGGTGGGGGAAGCCCTGGGGACAGCAGGAGTTTGTTCAGCTTTGTTTGGCCCCTACTACCTTCCTGAACCTTTTGAAAACACAGTGGGGTGGGGTGGGGTGGGAGAGAATGAACGCAGGGAGTCTGGTGAGCTGTGGAAAGAAGCATCTTCCATTGCCATCATTGAATAGCAGGTGCCCAGCCATCAGCTTGGCTCTCCATTTTTTTCTTTTTGGTATCAGCTGAGATGCCTCTTTGTTCCTTGGTTTGTTCAGCAACTGGGGGCAGAGGACATGGCTTCTCTGAGAGTGGATGGGAGCCTCAGATTATCCAGTTGAATGCAGTCTTTTTGCAAATGAGGAAACTTAGGCCTGGGGACATTCTCAGAGCGGGTGGGAAGGTGGTCTTCTGATGGCTGCACTGGGGCTTCAGGAACATTTTCTAGTGCTTAGGCATGAGACCAGGGGACTTGGGTGTCCCTGTTGTGTCTCAGGAGGCCAGGGTTCTGGTGAAAAGGCCCACCCAGCCTCAGATCCCCGCAAGGCTGAGCCTGTGCTGAATGCACTGAATTTGGGCTTTGTTGAAAGGAGGGGTTTGGCTGAGGTGTGTGACCCCGGCAGACCTGGGAGGTGGTCTCAGGGTTTCTGGGGAGGTTCCCCCCACCGACCTCTGGGTCTGTTTTGGAGAACCTGATGTGATGTAGAAAGACCAGGCAGGTGGATGGAGCTGTAGCTGTTAGGGGTGTGCGTGTGTGCAGGTACACGTTCATGGGTGTTTTCTTTTGGGGTCTTGCCAGGCCCAATCCCTTAATTTATCTGATGAGGAAACAAGAAGCCCAGAGCCTTGAAGAGATTTTCCCAGATCCTGCAGTGCAATGGTAGCCGTAGCTCCCCGCTGCTCTGTGCTTCTGCACTGTTGGGGCTCCAGATCAGACTGTCTTCCTGGCGCCTCTGTGGGCAGAGCTGGCCCCAGGAGTTGGGGGCTGTGAGGCAGGCTGTGCACCCTGTCTTCCCCATGCTGCCCCTGATTCTTAGTCCTCCTAAGCTGGTAGGCAGGTGGGTGAGACTGGGATGTGAGTCTGCTGACCAGAGGCAGCTGAGCCCCCAACTCAGAATGGGCTTGTGTTGAGGGGCCATGGCAGTGCTGCTGGACTCCATAGAGAGGCAAGCTTGCTGAGGGTGGGGTCGGGCCTCCCAGACCCTGACTGCTGACCTGGCTGTGCGCGGACATCTGCTCTGCAGGTTGCACTTCCCCCAGCTGGCACTGAGGCGGAGGCTGGGACAGTTGAGCTGTATGTCCAGACCTGCCCTGAAACTGCGCTCCTGGCCCCTGACGGTCCTCTACTACCTCCTGCCCTTCGGTGCCCTCAGACCGCTCAGCCGGGTGGGATGGAGGCCCGTGAGCAGGGTAAGTGTGCACAGACTGCTGGCCCGGCCGTCCTGGGTGCAGGCCTGAGGTTGGGACCCAGGACACGGAAACAGAGAAGGAAACAGTTGTCAGATTAGAGGTGATGATGTGGGTGCTGAGCCCCCTGGTTGGTCATCTTGACAGGCGAGTTGGTTGGGAAGGCCAGGCTGGTTGGTGGCCCTGAGGGCTTGCTGTGCACTGCCTGTTTTCCTTGCCTGCATTTGTGCCATTTAGGGGCTCTGTTTCTGAGAGGAACCCACACTGGGCATTCAGAAAATGGTGTCTGATTCCCTGGGTTCAGGTAGAAGAGAGCTCAGAGGTGATTTTGAGAAGAATGTGAATCAATTCCAGGATGCCAGAGGGTGATTCAGGAAGGCTGGGCCCCTTAGGGTGTGGATGCCTTTGAGGATGTGGGAGCCCAGGCAGAGCTGGATGAGGGAGCAACCTGGCCACCATTCCCTAGAGGGCTGGCTCCCTTGCCCTGGGCTCTCTGGGCAGGCTGACCCCAAGTAGGGCACCCTATGCTGAGACGGGCACGTCAGCTGTGAGGAGTTTGGGGAGCCATTAGCTCAGTGCACTGTAGAGGTGTTTAAAGTTGGAATGAAATTATACTTACACCGCGGGGACTTGGTGTCTAGGTCGGGCTGACAGGCAGCAGCTGCCAATTAGAGGCAGGTCCCACTGTGGCAGCGGCACCTGGGGTTTAAGAGGCACTCCCCCTCCAGGTCGCCTGGCCCTGGGAGTTTGGCCCGCGGTGCCAACAGAGACTGCTGGGGCCGATTCCCCTGTGCCTCGGGGCAGCAGCCCCAGGTGCAGACAGCTTTGTGGACCAGTCTCTCACAGTAGAGTGCCTCGGAGCTCAGGCAGGCTGGGTAGGGCGCAGCTGTGTCCGGGGGTGCTTGCCGGCTGGGGTGGGGGTGACAGTGATACAGCGCATCCTCATATGAAAGTCCCCGACCTTGTGCGGGCCATATTCCCTCCGCTGTTTGGACCAGAATGTGTGCTTTGGGCTGTGAACTTTCGCCTGCACCCAGGGTCCTGCCCCTTTCTGCCACAGCGTCTCTGTGCAGGTATCAGAGCCATTTATGCCCCTCCTTTCCTTAAGAAGTGAGACTGTGCTGGCCAGTCTCTCCTGGGGACCAGGGCAGTTGCTGTTAGACCTGTGTATAAAATGACTGAAATACTGAGTTTAGGTCACTGTGTCACAGTCTCGGCCAGTATTTGGTCTGTGAGAGTATTTGGGAAGCTCAGTCTGGTTCCTAGTAGGAAACAACCACATCACAAAGCCATCGCGGGTGCCCAGGTGGCCAGAGGTGGTGGCTGACTGGGGGGTGGCAGGGGGCACGCAGGGCGGCCCACTCATCTGCCTGTCTGTGGCCTGCAGGTGGCCCTGTACAAGTCAGTGCCGACGCGCCTGCTCTCGCGGGCCTGGGGCCGCCTCAACCAGGTGGAGCTGCCGCACTGGCTGCGCAGGCCTGTGTACAGCCTGTATATCTGGACCTTCGGGGTAAACATGAAGGAGGCCGCCGTGGAGGACCTGCACCACTATCGCAACCTCAGCGAGTTCTTCCGGCGCAAGCTGAAGCCGCAGGCCCGGCCCGTGTGTGGCCTGCACAGCGTGGTGAGGCCCAATCCTGCCCTCCACTCCTCCCTCCAGAAACGGGATTGTCACCTGTGTCTTTGGGAACCAGTCCCGGCAGCCTCCACTGGTGGCCCATGGGTACTCCTCTCAGGCTGGGGGAGTCCCCCTGCCTCCCTTAGTGGCAAGCCTTTCTCTGCCCTTTCAGATCAGCCCATCAGATGGGAAGATCCTGAACTTTGGGCAGGTGAAGAACTGCGAAGTGGAGCAGGTGAAGGGGGTCACCTACTCGCTGGAGTCGTTCCTGGGTCCACGCATCTCCACAGAGGACCTGCCCTTCCCTCCAGGTGGGTTGGTGCCTGGTGGTGGCCCCCACGGCCCTGCTGCAGCAGTGCTGGGCTGGGTGTCCGGGAGAAGGACGTGAATGGGTTGGGGAGGGAAGGGCCAGGAATCACTGTGTGGAGCTTCATGGCGTCCCTGGAGCCCACGTCCAGACTACACAGGCTCAGGTGCTTGTCTGAGAGCCTGGCCCTCGTGTCTGCCCCCCACAGCTACCCCCTGCGGCTCCTTCAGGAACCAGCTGGTCACTCGAGAAGGCAATGAGCTCTACCACTGTGTCATCTACCTGGCCCCCGGGGACTACCACTGCTTCCATTCTCCCACTGACTGGACCGTTTCCCACCGGCGCCACTTCCCAGGTTGGCCAGAGCCTCCCGCTTTTTGGTGTCAAGGGACCGGGGCTCCACATTTGGGGTGCTGAGGTGGGGAGGTGACTGCTTTAGTCCGGCCGGATGTGGGCAGCAAGGTGCAGCCTGGGGTCTAGCCCACTCTGCATTTGGAATGATATGGGTGGACATGGGACTCTGGGAGGCTGGTCTTCTTGCTGGGTGGGGAATAACAGTGTCCCTACCCCCACAGGTTCCCTGATGTCTGTGAACCCCGGCATGGCCCGCTGGATCAAAGAGCTCTTTTGCCACAATGAACGGGTGGTCCTCACCGGGGACTGGAAACATGGCTTCTTCTCGCTGACGGCCGTGGGGGCCACCAATGTGGGCTCTATACGCATCTACTTTGACCGGGTAAGCAGAGCCAGGCCCAAGGGCTGGGCCACTTGGAGTTCGCTCACCTCCTCTTCCATGCAGCCAGATCTATTGGGACTGTAAGTTCTAGATGGGCCCCTGCTAGGCCTGGCTCTGCTGAGCAGCTGCCCTGAGGAGGGGCTGGGTCCTGGGCTCCTGCTCTGCCAGCCCCAACCCCAGATGTGCTGCCACTTGCTCGTCTGGAGGTGGTTAGAGAGGGAGGGGGTTAACCTCCCAGCCCGCACTTTGCCTCTGCTGGGAACCCAGCAAGAACATTGAGCTCAGGGTGAGGCGTGCTGCTTGGAGGCTGAGCGTGTGAGAGGGTGGCCACTGCCTGTCCTTCCCCGGTAGCTGCCTTTCTTGGTGTCAGCTTGTGACTGCGCCTCACCCACCCTGGATGCTGGAGGAGAGTTGGGTCTGATTCCTCTATGTCTTTCTGGGTCCCAGTTCACAGCTGATACTGGGGACTGTGGTTAGACCTGGCCCATCAAGTCACTGTCCCTAGCTCCCTTTCCAGTCTGGGTTGGGGACAGGCAGCAGAGGTATGTTCCGAGTCCAGGAGCAGACTCCACATGCTGTGCCTCTGGCCTCCCACAGGACCTGCACACAAATAGCCCGCGCTACAGCAAGGGTTCCTACAATGACTTCAGCTTCGTGACGCATGCCAACAAGGAGGGCATCCCCATGCGCAAGGGAGAGCACCTGGGCGAGTTCAACCTGGGCTCTACCATCGTGCTCATCTTCGAGGCCCCCAAGGACTTCAACTTTAAGCTGAAAGCTGGACAGAAGATTCGGTTTGGGGAGGCTCTGGGCTCCCTCTAGAGCCTCTCTCCTGGTGGTGGCTACTCTGGGAGCTTTTTCAAACAGAAACAGGAGGGTCTTTTAGAGGGGAGCCTCCGCGGCTGGTCAGGGAGGGGTCTCAGGGCTGTGGAGTCTGACTAGGCAGGACCTGGGTGACTAGTTTCTGCTGTCCCAGAGATGTAGATGAGGTCACAGCCCCTGTTGACCCTGGACCTATGTGGTCCCCTCTTCCCACTCTAAAGAGAAAGAACATGTAGGCCAAGATGATCTCAAATTCCCTTTTGGAGATTTTTTTAATCTGTATAAACTGGAGACCCTATGTCTCCTGGCTGGGTGTTCAGTTGGTCTTGATTTCTGTTGTAAGACAGAAGTGGTTATGTATCCCCAGCACTGCTTTTTGGCCTCCCCTTCTGCCTTTCCTGCACTGACTGGGCTGTGCTGCCCCCAGAGCAGGGCCATGTGGCCTTTAACACAACTGCTTTCTGTTCCCAGTTCATCCCATCCTGCTTGTTTGGGAAAAGCTGTCTCTCTGCACTTGTGGCTGAATGCATCATCCTGGACTCTGCCAGCGTCTTCTGAGGGGGTCTAATGGTATGGCGCTTAGCAGGTCCCATTGAGTGACCTTCCGGAGCTGGCAAGTCCTCTTTCCAGTAAGCAAGACCAGTTACTGAATCCCCTGAACGGTGTCCAAAGTGAATGGACAGGCAGGCAGGGGTGACCTATGGGGGCCAGGGGAGAGCTTGTCCCCCACTCATATCCAGACCCACATAAAACATGGTAAGTTGCTGCTGTTGTTTCAGGGGCTTGTGTTGGAAGCAGAGGAGGAGCCTTGGTGTATTGGGAGGGGGCGGGTCCGTGCCTACCACACCTGTCCCCAGGTAACAGGTACACAATCCTTAGGGAGCCACTGACAGTGGGACCAGGGTTCAGGTTTCCTGGGGATGCTGTGAATTTCTCCTGCAGGAGAAGCCATTTGAACTCTTTCAACTGTATCAGTAGCACAGTATTTTTGTATGAAAAGTGGGAGACTTCTGAACAGTAATTCATTTAATTGCAACATTTTGAAATAAAAGATAAAACTCATTGCAGCTTTGCGTTCTGTTCCTGGAGGTGGGCTGAGGCCTCCCTGGGGCAATGACTAGCACAGAGCCCGCCGCAGGGCCTGGACGCGGGCGATGCAGGAACGAATGGGTTGGCGTTGGGCCTGGAGCTCAGAGGCCAGCTGCTGGATCTGCAACTCCACCTGGGGGACAGGAGGCTGAGCTGAGACAAAGCACAGCCAAGGGAGCTGTCCCAGGGCTGCCTGGGGTCTCACCTCCTGCAGTTCTTCCTGCACCTGCTGCTCTGCTTCATGGTCCTCAGGCCTGGGCTCCTCCTGGCTCAGTTCCAGCCACCGGCGCAGGCTTCTGGCTTGCCGCTGGCAGGACCTGAGGGAGTGAGACATCTGCTGCCAGCCCGGCCAGGCCCTTGGCAGTGCCTCCAGCTAGGGAAGCAGCACATCTGCTACTTCTGGTTGGGGCAGGGAGGGTTCTGTTCCTCTGTCAGCTTCCACCACCAGCTCAGGCAACTCAGGTGGGCCCTGGTGGAACTCCTCCCCGTCCCTGTTCCTGGGCGTGGGGGGAGACAGGCTCTGGACCTGGATCACAGACAAGACAGGACAGCCCCCTGTGCACAGGCCTGTCTTTTCTGCACCTTCATTGTGCACAGTCACTGGACCGCTGGCCTCGCACTTGACTTAGGTGGAAAGTTTTGCTCCCCTTTATCCTCTGTCCCACAGGTGAGGCAGACCTGAGCTGGACTGAGGGACACAGGTGCCACATGTGGGGGGTCGGTACAGGCAAAACACCCCAAGGAACCTGGCAGCCAGTTCTGGGGACACGGCTGGGGTTTTTCTGGGTCTTACGAGAGGTTCTGCTTCATGGTCTGGTAGTCCTGCAGTTGCTGCTGGATGCCCTCAAGCTCGGCCTCCAGGTCAGTATGGCCCATGGTAACAGGAGAATAAGCTTGATCTTGGTCACCCTCCCGGCTACGCCACGGCTGGATGGAGGGATTCCGGGCAGGGGCCTGAGCGCTCACAGTGTGGACAGGCCTTAGGCACACACCTGTGCCTGCAGAGCCTGGCCCGGGCCCAGTGCCTGTGAAGTCCCCAGGAAGCAGCAGGTGGGGGTGGGGGACACTGGCTGCAGATGGAGAGGCCTGGGGCACAAGCCCAGGGGTGATGGGCTGTGTAGATGCCTGTAAAGGGAGGACAGATGAGCAGGAAGGAAGGCTGGGGAGGGGCACCCAGGCTACCCACTGCAGGGGTATGGGGAGGTGAGGCCACAGGACTTGACCTAGCCAGCTCACCTAGTCTGGCCCTGGCTCTGCCCCTTTCTTCAGGACCTGATAGGAGGACGTCCCACAAGCAGCTCAAGGAACACTCCACACCTGTGCAGGCCAGTCCCGCCCCTTCCCCAGAGCCTGGCTCTTTACCTCCCCAAGCAGCCGTTTTACCCTCCCCTCACTCTGAGCGGCGGTCCTGCGCTTCAGGGAGAAAAGTGGTCAAAGGCAACTATCCTCGTCAAACCCCACACCTTCCGTTCCTTTCTGGTGACGACTGACCAGCTCTCTTCGGGCACCAACTCTGGGGGTGTCCCAACCCTGCTGCCGTCTCCTCCGTTACCAAGCACTGGGACCTTCTCTACCACCTGGCCATCCTTGCCCAGACTCTTCACTTGTATGTCACATGCCCTCAGGAGCCTCTGCCCCTTTCCTCCCAGGTGACCTCTTTAGGTCCCAAGGGTTTACCTTCACCTTATGTGGACTGAGTTTTGCTCTCCAGCCCTGACCACACCCAGAATCTTGTTGCTTTATCTCAGATTTGACAGGTTTAAGATAAACTCTTCAGGCTTTACCCCAAATGGGCTCCCTACCCCCATTTCCCTCTTTCAGTAAAAGAACTAGTTTTTCCTGGAGTTACTCAAGCCAGAAACCCAGGAGCCATCCTGGATTCCCTCCTCACCCTTATCAAACCCATCGGAGCATCGAGCAGGTCCTGCCTAGTCTGCCTCCCACGATGGGCTCTGCCCACAGCCACCACCTGATCTTGGCTCCCAGCACCTTCCGCTGGGCCACGGGAACACAGCAGCCAACAGGCCCCCACCATTTCCTACTTTCCTTAAAATCCAGACATTCCCCCAGGGCCTACAGGACCCTCCATGATCTGCAGTGTCTTCATCTATGTCTGGGGCTCTTTGGTCTCTACCTCTAGGATAGAAGCTTCACAAGGGGGGCCTTAGCAGCCTTTCCATACTGTGTCCCTAGGACAGGGACACCTATACTTAGTGAATGCATGAGTGGCCTCGCTGCATCCTCCTGAGCTGGCAGTGCTCTGGAAGCAGTGAGTACAGCTCCGGCTACAGCACCGAGCACATGAGGAAGAGCACTGAAGGCCAGACCAAAGAATGAGACCCCAGGTGACCAGGAGGACTTACCCTGGCAGGTGCTTCCACCCCACATGGCATGAAGGAGGAAGGAGGCAGCAGTTCTGGGCCCATATTCAATGTGGGGGGCAACTTTGGGCCAGGGTGACTTGGTAGGGTCTTGGGCTGGGGCAGGGGGCTGCCTGGGACCAGTGCTGTCCAGGCCTCTGGCAGGCAAGGCGTCATCAGGGAAGGGCCCGCTGGCTGGGTCACACCTGGGTTACACTCCCACGGTGCCTCAGGCCTACGCAGAGGGAGGGGCAGGAGGTGGTCAGGCCACAGTACCCTCCTGAGGACCAGGAGGGAAAGGGGGCCACTCACCCTAGGACCATAAAACATACCCTGGTCTCCCAAGGGTGCGACACCCCAGGGGCCCCTGGCTCTGCACGGGCTCCAGCAGGAAATGTGGGCGTCGAGGCTGCTTTCTTGCCAAGCGGGCAGCATTGCTGGGAAGAAACACAGGCCTGTTCCTCTAGGCTGCTTGGGGCACCCAGTCTGACCCCTCCAATCTTACAGGGAGACTGAGGGCCAGAGAAGGAGAGGCTCTTGCCCAAGGTAAGCGGTGAACCGGAAGTGATCCTGGGCCATATAGTACTTCCAGTAATTCCAATGAAGTAAGCCTGACGACGTGGGGATGCCTCACCCACATCATCTCACTTGACCTCTATAGCAACCTGGTGCTCCTCCCACATCAGAGTGGAAGCAGGCTCATCATGGTCAGACCCTATCAGGGCTGGGGGTAAGGGAGGCAGAGAGGACTGAGGCCCAGTCCAGTACCCAAACCCCCCCCCTCGCCCCCACCACAGGTAACCTCTCTGCCAGGCTCAGGTAGTGCTGGTCACTTGGAGCCGGTGTGCAGGAATGGGCCAGGTCACAAGCAGTAGGGTTTCCGAGAGGGAGCCCATTTCTCAGCTGTACGTGGAGAAGCAGGGAGACTGGAAGGTCTGGGGGCACAAGGGCGGGGCTGCCCTACAGCCTATATTCCTTTTCCTAAAACTACATGTTCTCTCCCCCATGCTCTGCAGGAACAGAGGATGCGGTCCTGTCAGTTGGGACCCAATGGGAATGGGAGGGATGTGACAGGATTCTACTGGAGAGGGGTCCAAGCAGCTCAGCCATGACCTCCCTCCTGTACAGTCCAAGCCTCTGCCCAGACAGGAAGAAAGGAGGACGAGGTGAGGGTTGGGCTACTCACAGCTCTAGAAGTTGGGAGTCTCCAGCAGCCAGGGCCAAGCTGCCCAGAGCTCCCCGTGACTGAGGATCTCGTGTCCTCTTGGCCTCCAGGGCGGCATCCCCAGCCCCAGCAGCAACACAGGTGGAAAGGGGACTGTCAAATGTCACTCTCCTGCTGGGCATGGTGGATGTCAGAGGCTGAGGCTCCCTGCCCTGGCCCAGAACCTTCTGTTTCCACAGCATGGCACAGCGATGGACCACACGGTGGAGACTGTGGGCCGCCTGCAACAGGCCTCTGGTCAGGTCATGCCTGGTCCTGCCTGTTCCCCAGGAGAAGGGGTGGAGGACCCAGGGCTCACCTGCACCTGCTGCTGGGCATGCAGCTGCTGCCGGAAGGCCTGCATGCTGGCTGCAAACCGTAAGAGGCGTGTGGCACCTTCCTGAAGGAGCTGCTGGTGGTAGGCCTGAACAGCTCGCTCCAGTCGCGCCTTCTTTCTCCTCCTTTCCAGTACCAAGCCCAGCCACGCGGCCCACACCTCCAGGGAAAGGAGATGAGGCCCAGTTCACCTTGCTTAAGCCTCCCCCTGGAGGTGTGCCCTCCTTTGAGGCATGGCCCTCTCCTGGAGAGGCAGGGGCAGTGGGGTGTGGAGCCCCCCTTACCTTTGCCTGTAGTGAGAAGGACCAGAACCACAAGGCCCGGGCCGTGCCCCGCTGCTCTTGCTTCCTGTTCGCCAGCTAGGGGTCAAAAAGAGGACTATGGAAGTTTAGCCTTTAAGGAGGCTGCCCTGACCACAGCGTCCTGGTCACTCTGAGACCCTTTTCTCGCTGCCCTCCTTCCATTAGAAAGGGCCCAGTGCTGGTGGGCCAAGGAGTGATCCTTTGGGAAGAACAAAGGCAAAAAGCTCCTAGGGAAGGGAGCAGCTTGGGGCGGTGTGCTGGGCTCACCACACACCTGCACATGAAGGTTTGCTGGGCATGATGCAATCCTGCCTGGTGTTTTATCAAGTCCTTGGGAAAGACATGCATTTCATGTTAATTTTTTGGATATTACCCCTGAAATATTTTCTAATGTGACACTGTAGAAATCAGGCCCTGAAGTGACTTGAGCTTGTACAGGTCACAGGTAGAAGTGGCAGTGCTAGGAAATGATTAAGGTTGGGGGGGCCCTAGGACGAGGGTGGAATTAAAAATGTTAAATGTGGGGGTGCCCAGCTGGCTCCAGTCAGTAGAGTGTGAGACTCTTTTTTAATTTTTTTAATGCTATTAATATTTTTTTTGAGAGAGAAACAGAGTGCAAGTGGGAGAGGGGCAGACAGAGAGGGAGACAGAATCTGAAGCAGGTCCCAGGCTCTGAGCTGTCAACACAGAGCCCGATGCGGGGCTCAAACTCACGAAATGCAAGATCAAGACCTGAGCCGAAGTCGGATGCTTAACCGAGGCACCCAGGCA